GCTGCCGCCGGATAAGCATCTGTATATCTTCGACACAACAGTCGTTGGCAATGAGTAATACCTTCTTATTTCATTGTTTTTCAGTGCTGTATAGAAAGTTGATTTCTTTGCACCGCATAGTTAATGCAAAGTTTACACCTCGGTGAGTATTGTTTTTAAAATAAAAACTGCCAAATGTTATAAATTCAAGTAAAAGGAAAATAATAAAGCATACATTTTTGCACAATTTAGTGTTATTATGTGCTGGTTCTGCACATATGTTATTTCGTATGCATATATAAATAGACCGAATAAAGTGACAGATTACTTATGGTATCTGTAAAATGAACCAAATTACGAAAGCTAAACGTTGACTCATGAACACTGAAAATAAAGTCAAGGTCAGATGAACCCTGTCAGACGGACATGACTCTACGCCTTTCTATTGTAATTGACATACAGATAAAAGGTTATAAGTCATGAGTAATTGACCATTCACAACCGACTATAAAATCATTTTACACTTGAGGTAGACAAATCGAGAGTCTTTTTTTATGTTTTGTAAAATATTCAAACGTTGTTTTCTAAATTCTAAACTCTAAATTTTGATCATATCTTAGTATCTACATCACTACATCAACTTGACTTTATTTTCATTGATCACGAGTACGTCAATTGCTTCAGGCGTGAAAGCGGATGGAATTATTCGTTTAGGATATTTTCTTTTTCAGAGGGGTTTATGCAGGTACAATGCTGGTGTTTTCATTTTCTTGGTTTTCAATTAAAAAGTATAGGTTTGAGTTGCTTTGAAAGTGTAGGTATACTCAAGCCTGTTTCTAGGGACGTATACCACAAACGGAGGTGGCTTTGCTATGCCAAATACATTTATAGTGCTATACATTTCTTGGCTATGCATACCAGATCCGATCTTGGAAGTAGTTTACAGAAAAAATTGGATTAGAATAAGTGAATTCATCTGTATCTGTGAAGAGATTAATAAAACACATAATTTGAGCGCTGTTAGCTAGTTGTTTCATTGGCAATCATGACACATCTCCTTATTTTACTTTGAACAGTAAACAATTAATAATAACTGCAGGCTTACGAATCTATAGACCACGAGAAAACTGTTACACAACCACAGTATAAAAAACCAGCAACACCAGATAAAGAAGTAATAAATGATTATATAATAAGAACTTGGGACACAATATTAGATATAACAATATATATGTGATTTAATTTAAATGTATCACTGGTAAATTATTAAGTCAGGGATTTCGTTAGCATAAATTACTTTAAACTTTACTAATTTAGGATTGGCTGTACATGTAGAATTCTTATCACATCATAATTTTGATTGGAATGTTGTTTACAAAGCCTGTAAATTTAGATACGATCCATGAAAACTAATTGATCATATGAAGAAACTTATTTTTATGGGAAATCAATTTATCTTCGTAGTAAGATATTTAAATTTTTTTTTTGATCGGTACTAACATTGACTTTATTTGTGATAAATTAAAACAAAACTAGGTATATTTTACTGCACTTTTATGAAAACCTACATCTTGCCGATATTATATACTTATATTTTGGCATCGCACAAGGTCATGCTTTTCTCAGACTGTTTATGACGTCTTTACTCTAAATCCGATTGATGTGAACAGATTGTTTCTTTAGTCCGAGAGAAAACGATTTATATATTAGTTGTTATTGGCTTTAAATTATAGCTTTTAGTAATTGTGCATTGAAAAAAATCAGTCCAAAATGGATTGAGTGACCATAGCATAGTCACCACTGACATAAATTCAAAGGTGAAAACAAAGAAGCAAGTACCAAGGAAGGTGTGTATTTTTAAAAAGGGCAATATGAATGGAGTAAACAAACATCTAGATAAAGAGTTGATCGATGTCATACATAATTCAAAACCAAACACCATACAAGAATGCTGTAATGAATTTAAAGATACACTATCACAGGCAATACAATAAATATGATAACCAAAATGCAGACAACCAGATGGAATTTACTTTGAATCAATAGAACGACCAGAACAATTAGTAGAAAAAAACCAGAGAGTTTACAATAAGGCTAAACGTACAAACAATGAAAAACACTGGGAAGAACGGTAAAATCTTAACTAGAAGAAGCACACCAAAACTATATTTCACAAATACTGGAAGAAGATGAAGAAGGAGAAAGAAAAAACCCTGTTGTTGGCAATATGTTTAATCAAAGAAAAGAGACTGATGTGGAATAGCAACACTCTCTTCAAATAGAAAAATAATGGAAGACAGCAAAAGTAATACAGAAGCACTTAAGGTGGCTGGGGCGTCTTAATTAAAATCCATAGAATATTTTAATAATTTGTCAAAATGAAGTTTTTATCATGCTTTTTTCAAAAATATAATAAAAAGTATGGGTTACCGGTCTTTTTTTACGCTACAGATTGTTCAAAATTGTCAGATTTTGTATAGATTATGCATGGAAAATCCAATTTTGTGTGATAAAAAGAAAACTACATGATAGAATTTTAAGATAAAATGTGAGAAGATAGCTTTTATAGCATGCTTTCAGATAAGAAAAAGAAAAAATAGGGTCACCGAACTTGTTTTCTTGCTACATATTAAAATAGGTAAATTCACAGCACTTTCTATCATAAAATTACTTTATCTGAGTTATCTCCCCTACGAAATGAGTTATCTCCCCTTATTTGGCAAAGTTGAAGAAAAAAAATGAATCAATCACAAATATGGTGTTTTTTTTAGAAATTACAGCCGTAAATATGATAAAACACACAATATCTATATTTACATCAAAAGTCTTACACGTGAATTACATACTACTCTCAAAATTTTCACATTTCATTAAAGATCTAGACCAACTGTTATCTGCTACTTCAAAATCCAAGATGGAGGAAGACACCCAAGCCACCTTAACCATCAATTTGTTTCTGTTTTTTTTAGATGAAAATACATCATGCCAACCAGAATTGAAAGGTAACACATCGCTTATTATAAGCCAATTAGAAATCACAGAAGAAGGGGGTAAGAAAGCTTTTAAGTAATATCAATCCAAAAAAAGCAAACGGACCAGATAAGATCTCGAACAGAGTCCTTGAATAATGTGCTACCAGTATTTCGCTATATATAACAACAATATTTAAAAAAAGATACAGTTACGAAGTAGGCTCCGTTCCAGACGATTGGATAACAGCAATTATCACGGCACTTATTAAGAAGGATGATATAAGTATGCCAGACAATTATAGATTTGTTTCATTGACGTCAGTTACATGTAAACTCATGGAAGACATTATTTTCAAACACATATTGCAACATCTAGAGACAAATGAAATCCTAGTAGATAACCAACACGGCTTCAGACAGAAAAGCTCATGCGAATCTCAATTAGTAACAATTGAAGATGTAACCGAATAGCTGGATAATAAAGAGCAAGTAGATATGCAAATACACTCTAGCAAAGCGTTCGAGGTAGTACCACACACCACACACGTGCCGTTTACGGAAACGAGAACATTACGGAATAAAAGGCAAAATACTTGAGTGAATAAAGGCTTGGCTCACACACGTCAACAGTGTGTAGAAGTTGAAGGTGAAACGTATAGAAACGCCTTTGTGAAATCAAGGAACATTTTTAGGTCCATCGATCGTTGTTCCTTTTGTACATCAATGATATTGGAGATGAAATCAAGTAAAAGTTGGGGTTTATTTTTGCTGATGATAGCCTTTTATAGCTGTCAATAGATTTCATTGATGACTGGAATCAGTTACAAAAAGATCGTGTCAAAGTGGTTGACTGGGCATCAAAATGGAAGATGAAATTCAATGCGTCAAAATGTTATGTATTAAGAATTCCAACAAGAAAAAACGTATAATGCATAACTACCACATGCACAGCCAAATTTTGAAGATGTAGACCAAAACCCATATTTAGGAGCTCAGTTTACCAACAACCTGGAATGGAATATACACATTAATAACATAGTAGCTAAAACAAATAAATCATTAGTTTCTTGAGAAGAAACATCAATAAATTCCTTGAAAAAAGTAAGAAAAGAGCCTACCAAGCTATTGTAAGGCCAAACTTTGAATATGCAAGCAGTGCTTGGAATCCATACCAGGAAAACCACATAAAAAGATAAAATAGTGCAAAGAAGATCAGCCCGTTTAATTGAACATCAATACAGTAAAGAACCTGGATCAGTTACTAACATACTGATGGAGTTAGAATTACCGTCATTAGGAATCAAACGAAAATTAAAAGACTTTGCTTGTTTCATAGATTATATAGAACAACAAAACAGGACAACAAGATAATACCAACAACGAAAATTTAGAAACCTTCAAATATCAACCAACACAAGTACAGCTTCTTTCGTTGTACCATCAAAGACTGGAACAGCTTACCAACAAAATTGTTAGATATAAATGATGCTGAAGTATTTAAGAACATCCTCACATCCTATTTAGCAGAGTAGTCATGCCAGAAAAAGCATAATTTTAATATGCACATGTAAACATGTTTTTTTATGAGCACCATATCAAATGACTGATTTAGTACTAAAAATGAAACGATGTAGATGTAGATGTAGCCAGGTCGACAATGCAAGCGGAGTCGCCAACCACGATGTAACAGAAGCATCAGTTTAAATCCCACTGAGGGAGGGAGAAAAATTTGAGCATAATCAAGGTTTCAATCCTACTGTTCCTTGGTGGTGTTTACTAGTATATCACAATAATGGTATCTTCATAGGTAACTATTATGTAAATATAGATATAAGATTCCAGTCACACTGACTAACGATGTCAATACGGTAAAAATGACGATCCTATTCAATTTCGTATTTGATATATATAATATCTAATTATAGAAACAAATCATAGTTCCAAGAAATATACTTTTATGCAACAGGGATGGTTTAAACCACGATCATGACCTAGTTTAAAGTAATTACGTGAAAAATTGTATTGCTATTTAAAAAAATAGAGTAGAAATAAGGAAGCATTTTTACCTGAATGGTCACCGATATATTTTAAAGTCATATACGCCGCTCATAGTTTTGATAATGGATAATATAGAAAGGGCCGAGAATTTGCACGGCATTAAGAAAACAACATACTGGGAAATCTATGGAATCAAGCGTTTCCCTTACAAAGGAAAGCGGAAGTATTCCCCTTGTATTAATCAAACGTTTGATGGTAGCATAGTTTTGAAAAATGACGTGTTTGGACTTTCTATTCGACAGTTTGAACGAGAATTCAAAAACTGCCTTGAACGAAGAAGAAAAGATGAACAAACTATTATCAACATTCGATTTCCAGATAAAACAAGCAACGAGTATATGGAATATTTGGAAATCTTTAATATACAAAATCTCGGTAAGTTAAAAATAGGAATTGTCCAGTTAACCTTTTTTTTTAATTTAAAACTGTTATAATAAACCCTTTTTTATTCAAATGTATATCTTTCTTTGAAGGCTTCATAGAACGTTTTGTTTGATTATAGTGAACTTTTTTTCCTTTGCGAAAAAATTCGGACAAATTACCAATTGTATATGAGTTTCAGAACTTAAATACTTTTCGGGCTTATCAGATCCTTGTTCAGATGTGTTCTTTCTCATTAGATTACTAAAACTCTGTAGTTTTGCCTTGTATACTTGTTGTATCGTTGTTTTTGTGTTGTTTTAATGACGATAAAGGCATGCTACCAATTGCTGTGTAAGTATTTTTTTAAACATACATTTTACTGTTTGTCGTATAGGATATAGGATGGATGTTAATTGTTTGTTGTATTAAACTAAAATGTTAAGTAAATGTGTTTAAATGAAACAGAAATGTGTACTTTGAACGTGAACCTTAACTACATTTTCTGATTAATACTTTATTATCTAGAGATGGTAGGAAAATCTTACTGTTTCGAATAATTCAACATTTCATAAACAGTAAATTTACAGAAAATGAACATATGAAGATATTTCTCATGTCAACACTAAATTGCTGTCTACGAGGCTGGTGATAACCCAGTTGACGAAACGTCCACCAGTAGTGGCATCCATCCAGTCGTTGTAAAATCTCATAAAAGATATCAGACCTATAATTTGTTATCTATACGTGCGTTTCATCTACATAAAATTAACCAGTGGCGCTCGAATAATTCAATTAAAAGACCAAAGTTGTGCCGAATACACAAACGTGTTCATGTGTCATGCTTAAATTTACAGAAAAAATCTTCATTAGGCAGTATCATGATCATAATGATAATGCTGCCGTAGTATTATCGCTTGTATTATCATGTAAATGCCTGCTCAGACTGTAAGAGTTACATCCCATCTGCATATAAATTATCAAATAAAATATTTACTCCATTGTATTTAGATATTGATAGCGAATCACTATTTCTTTGGTTGTGAGTATAGCACATGACATTGAACAAAACTTCATATTCCCCTCTGAGTATCACATTCCCTTCTTAACATCGGGACTACCTCGATCATGCGACGTTATGCGCGGTTAATGTACATAACGTTTTGAACATTTTTGAATAGCGACAGTATATTCAGTATCGTATTCTAAATTATTTCAGACGAAAAAACCAAAGAGAAAAGAACCAAGAATAAATAAATAACTTTTAATCGGTGCTGTTTATGCCGTGTATAGTTATAAAAGCAAGCGTATAAAAAAAATTGTATTTTAGTTATTATTTTATGTTCAGGAAGTAAAAAAGTATAGTCAGTGGAATAAAACATTCCTTTCCCTTGGCCTATGGGGATATGAAGGTTTGTTCATAATCGAAATGTTACAATTCCCTCGGGCGATGCCCTCTGCAAATATGAAATTTTCTGGGTGAAAAAATCTTCATATCATCCTCACACAAGAGAAGTAAATGTATATAGGAGTCAATTATCACAAAGACTGTCCTTAAAACAGTAGTACCGACTTCAACATTGATAATGCGAGCATTATTAAGGATTTTACCAATACTACTGTCCCTTAGTCAGTGCATATATACTATTTTGTTACGATAAATTCATCTTCACAACTATTGTGTTAATACAGATACAAGATGCTCAGACTGACGATCTCACATATTCAAAAAGATATGATACAAATGACGCAAGTTCGTATTTTAAATATACAAATTTTAAATATGTATACTGTATATAAACTATAAAAATGAAACTAACATTTGTTCCGAGAAATAAATCTGTACGCAGCTGGGATGGTTTAAATCACGATCATGACCTATTAAAAGTCATTAGGTGAAACGTTGTATTGACTTGTCACAAACTTACTGTTTAAAGTTGATTTGACAATAAACATTTAAATTTGAATTTGATATGAACTGATAAAGTAGAAATAGTAAAAAATAAGTACTTGTAAATCTATAGAATCAAATGGTTCACTTACAAAGGAAGGCGGAAGTATTAAGGTATTACACCATTGACAAAAAGGTCATTGCAGTTTATAGCATTAATGGAAAAACAAATTAAACCAGTTGTTAATTTGATATTGATAGCACAACTGAAGAGACTGTATCACCAGCAATTGAATTTAATGCCAAGTTATTTAATTCCTGCGTTTTTTTCTGATTTAGATAGTAAACTCTCACATTTTTCATATTCATACAGGCAAGATTTACAGAAACTTATATATGAATTAATTGATTTATGTCCGGACACACCCAGTAAGACTACTACTGCATATCATGATGTAGACGTAGGTGGTGCTGAAACGATAAAGCAACTTTCATATAGAGCCAATCTCTAAAATCACAATATCTTTTAAATAGAGCACAATACCGTAATAGTGAATTTTTAGTTTCAAAACCTGATAAGTCTTACTGATTTGTTATAAATTTTAGAAACATTAATAATTTGACAAATTCAGATTCTTATCCCATCCCTAGGATTGATGATGCGTAGAAAAAAGTAAAATAACAAAAATTCCGAACTCCAAGGAAAATTCAAAACAGAAAGTCCCTTATCAAATGGCAAAATCAAAAGATCAAACACATCAAACGAATGGAAAACAACTGTCATATTCCTGACTTGGTATTGGCATTTCCTTATGTAGAAAATGGTGGATTAAACCTGGTTTTATAGCTAGCTAAACGTAGAGAAGTAGAGAAAAGTAAAGAAGGCAACATTTGTAAGTAAATCTGACCTATTTGAAAGGTTTTTGTACTGAATTTAAGTAATGGCAATGCGATTAAAATTCAGCTGCCACATAAAAAAAATATGTCAACAAAATTCTGAAATGTTTAAATGGTTGATTAGGCTACTTTGGTGATATGCTTATTTACAGCGATACTTTGGAACGACATTTGAATGAAATACAAAAATTGTTTATAGATTTAACAGTTAATCTATTGAATTTATAGAAATATGAATTAGGCCAAGCAATTCAAAAACTTTTTAGGCCATGTCATTGGCGAAGGTCAAATAAATCCGCTCATGTCAAATGTAAAAGCAATTGCTGATTATAAATATCCACGAAACAAGAAGGAACGTATGAAATTTATGGGAGCGGATGAATATCGCAGAAATATTTTGTGCAGATATTTCGAAACCTATATCTAAACTACTTGGTAAAAATGGGAAATTTACATTGACTGATCAGTGTGAAAGTGCATTTAAGAAATTTATGCTATTTTAATGTTTTCATTTGTTTTGTTGCATCTGACTGTAATACACAGTTTAAACTTAAAATTGATGCAAGCGGTGTTGCCATTGGCTCAGTACTCTTACAAAATGACGAGGATGCTTTGAACAGCATGTTTGTTATTTATATTTAGGGAGTTGATAAGCATCAGAGAAATCAGTCTATCGTTTAGAAACAAAGTTTAGCATTTTAACCGTTTTTGCAACATTTTAACTTGAAACACATTCCAGGCAAATATAATGTTATTGCTGATGCTCATTTAGGATTTTACTAACAGACTATTGTTGTTTTAAAAAAGTTTTCATTGTATTCAAACCTTTTCTTTCAAGAAGGAATGTGTTATAAACTTGATTATGTATAACGATATGAATTATATATTAAATATTTGAGTGATATATATTAACAGTTAATTTCACGCTTCACTGATTTTCGTTTATGTGACAAAAGTCACTTTTTGTCACACTTGACTAAATTGTGTAGAAATTTTTTATGATGGAACAATGAAAAACAGCAGAATAACTTGAAATATCTTATTTACATCATATAATTTTCATGATTATCTAAATTTCGAGTTCTTAAATTTTCTGTTTTGGTCAAACAGAGATCCAGACGACAGTAACCATCCTACTATTAAGGATGTACACCTCTGAGGAGCCAAACAATTCTAGAATTAGACTTTTTTTCTTAACCTGATTTTTCGGTTTATATATGACTGTAATAAAGTAATTGATGAAGAAAAACATATGGCGGTGCACCTCTTTTTTTGCTACGGCCATTTGAAAGTACCCAATTTTTAATGATTTTCCCATTTTTCATCATTTTTTACCCATTTTTGGGCTAATCATGAAAACAATCATAGTTTCACAATTAAACTTTTTTTCATACTTTAACTAAATATGAAGTGGAACAACCTGAATAAATTTAACTTAAAAAAAACTATAGGTTGGTGTTAATATTAGAAAGTTTTATAAAATTTTGTTGTTTTTTCGTGTCAAATTGACCATTCTGTCAATTTTGTCAATAATTTGGGATTTTTCTCTTTTTTTAGAACAAAAAGCATATTATTTCAACTTCTTTCTTATCTAAGAATTTTGAAAAGAAAAAAAAATATATGGGATGTACATATTGTTATGGTTGAGGGGTTAGCTGTAGGTTTGTACATTCAACTTTTTCGGGCTACTCAGTAAACACTCTCTTCTACTTTCACGTTCGTCGTTTACTGTTAGCTAACGCGTATTTAAAGACATTTGATGAACATTACATATACTATTATTATTATTGTATGTAAATATTGTTAGTAAGGTCTCTCTTCACTGTTTGACCAGGGAGGGTCCCCTGACTGAACGACGGTTCCCAACTTCTGTTTACCCTTAATTCACACGTTCCCGCTTTATTACCTTTCTATTTTATTTGCGTAAGGCCTGAATATTGTAACCGGGAACATAAATGCTAAGAATAAGCTAAGTTAAGTCCCGTTTGTCCATTTTCCGACTTGACAGAATGTCAACATTCGCAATCGCCGCCAATCTGCGTACTGACGTTGTTTATCATCTTAATAACGTGTTATAGTATTCTTTTACTTGTCTTTATTAATATTATTTTACTGTTAAGTCTGTTTTTTGAGATATCCATTTGACGTGACTCTGTACTTATGTATCCCGTCATACTTGAACCACAAAATTATTTTATTTATTAATATTACTTTTACTGTTAAGTCT